GGTGACCCAGCCTCACCTGCTCATGGGGACACTGACTTATTCAGGATGCAACTGAAGTGGTGACATCACACCAGCCCCTTGAAAACTCTCCGTTGTAGACAACCCTTAAAAATTTTTCAAAATGACACAAGAGTAAAGGAGGGAGTGCAAACCACAAAGAGGTGAAAGCAGAGTGTGTTAGGGTTCCCAGAGTTCTTGTCAGAAGCAGCATCTGGGCATGGACAGGATCAGGACTGTGCCCAGCTTGGGCACCAGAGGCTGGATGAAACCAGGTGCACCAGGCTTGCAACCCTCCACAGCTAGCTCCAACTAGCTGAGGCTCTGATTTTGCAGATGAGGAAGCTGAGGTCCAGAGAAGTGAGGAGTCTCAAACAAGGTCACAGCTTCTGGCAAAATGGTGTAGAGCAGCTGTCCCTGTCCAGGTCATTGGCTAATAGAGGAAAAGTACAGTTGTCTGGAATTCCAAGGCCCTGTTTCTGTTAGCCAAGTGGTCTGGAACCCAACCTCAGGGACCCTTCCTGGTATGATGCAAACTCCTTGGCGGGGGGGGGGGGGGGGGGCCAAGGCCCTGTCCTTGCTGGCCAGGTTTCCAGCCAGAGCCCTGGAAGTTTTCTCTGAAGCAATAACATTCATGCTTTTCAACAAGCATCTGCCCCAAGCCATTCTAGGACCCTGGAAAATGCAAGTTCCTCTCGCTGATGTGGCTTCCTTCACAGGCACAGCCATCCTGGGCCTGCAGAAGCCCAAGCTTGGGGTTGGGGGGAGGGGGAGTTGCTTTGCTACATGGAAAGATTAAGCCCTTTGTCAGAGAACAAGGTCTCATGCTTGGGCATGCCAACATCTGAGCTGCATTTGTGCAGCTCCACCAACAGAGTTGGTGCCCAAGGAGGCCAAGTTGCTCTCTTTGGCATCACTGACATTGCTCTGAGATGCTCAGGCACTCTTTCAAAATAAACCTTTCCAAGCTGTACCAGGCCAGTCCAGCCACCATGAGGGCACACCTGATTGGTGGCTCCCCTGCTCTTCCATCATGATTATTTTGTTTTGTCCCAGTCTCTTCTGACCTGGGTGAGAAGCAGACTGGAGGGAGAAAGCAGGGGATGAGTCTGCATTTCCATCTCCTCCCTGATCATCCTGTGAAAGACAGTCCAGCAGARGAAGCAGCATTTTAAAGAATCTCTCTACCTGTCAGGACATTGGAGATGTCACCTCTGAGGAGAGGAAGAAAAAGGAGGCAGGGAAGCAGGCCTCTTCTTTTCCACCTCCCTGCAGCCACTGCAGAAATACTGCCCAACAACCTTCTGCCCTGAAGAAAGGGCCAAACCTCTTGCCACCCTGGTGAGAAGCAGCTCATCTACCTCAGGCAAAGGCAGCAATTTCTTGCAGAGTTTGCACAGTGCTAGAAGCAATCAGGGAATCACAGAAGAGCAGCCTTACCAAAGCCCTGCTGCTTTCTGGGCCAAGGGCAAAGGGGAACATGAGGTATTAGGAGCCCTAGGGTCCTGGGGAAGAGGAGCTCCACATCTCCTGGGCAGCAGGGCCTGGAGTACAGCCCCAAGATGCATGTCAGGGCTCCTGGTATCACAGTCTAGGATTGTGCTACATTTCATTTCCAAAGAAGTGCCCTTGGTGGGCTCTATTGTCTTTAAAAACGGAGGCTTCTGCTCTCCTCAAGGCTGGCAGTGAAGAAGAGCTTAGGCAAGCTTCCCTGGTGTGGGAGTCAGGCCTCTGGGAGAGCTGGCTTGACCTTAGTGCTCCAACCAGCAGTGATTCCATGAGAGAGGATTCAGATGCTCTCCCTGAAGCTCTTCTAGGTTCTGCCTCAGCCACACAGAATGCTGGCATTTACTGGGACCTGCAATCCCAAGACCTAAGTGCTCCTTTCCTAGCAGAACTGGGTAGAAGAGACCGGATGGAGAGTACTTTTGGAGATGTTCTTCCTTGAAGGATCAAATCCTCCTTGTCGAACCAGGACTTGGCCCTCTTACTGGAGCCTGCTTCATACCAAAGGCCCATCGCAGACTTCCTGAAGGGAAGGAGTCCATGAAGAAAGTAGGACACTGAGCAGAGCAGAAATGTGAAGACAGATGCTCTGAATCATCCATCACTGTCCCCAACCACAGCCCAGCATCACTGCAGGGCCACTCCTGTCTCTGCCACATCCTCAATTGAACCCCACCCAACCAGAGGACATGGAATGACAGCCCTCTCTTGTAACCACTGCCAGGTTTCATTTGGAGTGAGGGAGCAGCTGAGTTAGCTCCATGGTAGGGAGACCTCAGAAGGATCATGTTCCTTCCTTCCTCACCATCTCCTCAGAAGGTAGGTCTCTTCCAGCCCAGAGTAGGCCAGGAGTCACACTTGTGCATGCTCCTCTTGTAGGACAGGCTAGCTCCAGTGGTTTCTCAGGCAGAATGTGCATCCAGAACTCTGAGGAACAGACCCTAATGCAGCCACTCTCCACTATGTTTGCATGTCAGCCTCATCCTTGTGGGGGGACTCCAGGTGGAGGCTGGTAACTTATTTGTGGAAGTGTTAAGAATTCCCCAAGGTCAATTTGTAGAGAACAGCCTATCATTAGAGAGGTGGAATAGCAGAGTGTCCCCACTCCTGGGCAGTATTGACAGCCAGGAATTGTAGGCAGTCAGCCTAAGTTACCAGCATATCAGGCTCCTCTCCCTATGCTGACCCTCTTCAGAGGCAAGGGGAGCCAAGACCTAGAGCTATAAGGGCAGCCTCATTGCTGGCAGCAATCCCTTCTCCCAGTGCCACCCAGGACACCTAGAAGCATGAGAATATTGACAGATACCATTTCCTGGGGGTGCCTTTGTGCCTTATCAGCAAATGTCTGTGCCATCCATGGGTCACTAATACTTCCCCCCACTCCAAAGGTGTATTTTCACACCATCCAGAGGGTGACTGTTTTAGAGGTGAATACACCCCAAACAGGAGGCAAAAATATCCTTTTGCAAGAGTGTCCTCCCTACCCTGTCCCCACTGGGGTCAAAGAGTACAGAATCCTTTGTCCCATTTTTAGGAACATGGGAAATACATGTATTTCCAGTTCAAGCAGGACTGGGGAGAGTGCTTCTGCCTAAAGAGACAATAGTCCAGCCACCTTCTCACCCTCTGCACACAAGGATCTCTTCTCTGAATATGCAATAAGAGACTCAGGAGGAGACAGAAGCCAATTTTGTTCATTTTTCTCCCACCCTTACCTACTTACTTTTTGTCTGTGGGAAGGGGATCCTGGTTTCCCCTTGTTTTCTTGGGAGGGAGGTTACAAGACTCTGACTTCAGCTCAGTGAAGATTCTTGCTAGACAAGGAGGTCCTCTGGACTGAGATGGTCCCTATACCCCCTCCAGCTTTGGTATGAAGGCAATCATCCCCGAGACCTCAGCCCTGGAACCCCAGGCAGTTCTTCCTGCCCCAGGCACTTGGGCTAGATGTTAGCACTTGACTGGGGAAGAGGCAGACAGCCTTCCCCATGTCCTGACCCCTCCTGCCACCTCTTCCCTCCCTCCTAGACATGAACCCAGGGCTGCTTTGTCCCTCTCCAGGGCAGCCTCACACCCTTCACCCTAGACTGAGGAGGAAGAGGGACACGTGTGACATTTCCGAGCCAGACTTCAGGATTCCCAGCAGACCTCTCACAGGGTGCTGACCAGGCAGTGGTTCCCCCACAAAATAGGTTCCAGCCGTCAAATCGAGTCAGGGCCTAAGTGGCTGGGAGAAGTCCCAACTAGACAAGGATGAGAAATAAAGCAGAGGCATTTGGGGTGCCCAGAGCAGGCCACTTCCTGGAGGGCAGCAGGACTGTGCAAGACAGCAGGGAGGCCAAGAGGGGTTAAGTATTGCTTGTACAGAGCTGGTGACTGTGCAGATTAGAGTCCAGAGCCAGGCTATTCATAGAGCCAGGAGGCTAGAGTCCAAGTGTGTGTGTCAGGGACCCTGGTCTGGAAATAAGCAAGGACTAGAGCTCCAGGTAGTCAGCTTCATGTAGTTCATCCCCAAAGGTCAGACAGTATTCCCAACAGTGGCTCAGAACAAGTCAGCCTCAGCCCTCCTGATTCCAGCAAACAGCCACGCCCTCAGCACCTCTTAACAAGCCAGGTCCCACTAGGGACAAGCCCAGAGTGGGATAGGACCAATGTCTGGGCCTGGGGGTGGGAAGACTGTCTGCTTTGGCAGATGACATGCCACTGAGGCTGACCTCCTGGGCCCCCTGGGAGAGCTCCTTTGGCATGTTGGAGGTGGCTGGGAGGGAGAAAAGGCCTTGAACAAATGCTGAGGGAAGCACCCTGGCCCTGCCCTCTAGGGGACCTGGCCAGCACCCAGGAGCGAAGACCTCCTCATGCTAGCTGGTAGGAAGCAGGTGGTTCTAGCCTCAGGGGAAAGCAATCTCAAAGCCCTCTATTCCCCAGGCACCCTCTGCCTCCCTGGGGCTCTGGCCAGGGCACTAAGTGAGCATGCTACGTGCTGCAGGATGCGTTTGGTGGAGAGAGCTGCTGGAGCAGCTCAGGTGGGGAGAGGGACAGAGGCGGGGGGTTCCCAGAGGAGCCCAGTGTAGCCCGCTGCAGTGGATGCTACATTCCTCAAAAAAGAGCAGCAATGCTGGGAGAGGCAAAGGGTGAAACAAAAGACAAGACAGAACCAAGCAGAGACCACGAAGGGGCGGGGGGCACAGGCTCTGCCACAGGGACAGGGAGAGGCAGGATAGGCCAGTGGCCTCATCCCCCACTTCCACCCCTAGAGATTCCTCAGGGCAAGTCACATCCACACAATACTCCTTTGGGTTTCTTTTCAACAAGATACAAAGAGACATGGATTCCAGCCCATGTGTCACCAGGACTGACTGTACCCAGACAAATGAATACATAAAAAGTAGTCACACACACATACACACAAATAGACACACACACACACCTCCACTGCCAGCTGGGACAAGCCCAGTAGCCAACAGGCATGCAGCAGGGCAAGGGGTCCAGAAAGAGACAGAGACTATGTACAGGGGAGGTAGAGGCCAGCAGGCCCCCTTCTCACACCACCACCCGGCCTCTGGTCCTGAGCAAGGTTCTTAGGAGCAGGAAGGGCTGGTGGCACTCTCCAAGGAGGACTGGGACAGGCGCCTGGTGAGGGATCCGAGCGTGGAGTCTGCCACGGAGGAGGTGGGGAAGAGTTTGTACCAGCCSGTAACCGCAGCGCTCAGGTCCAGTTCATCCAGCATGATCTGGGCCATACCCATGAAGCACTTGTGGTCCATGCGGCCATAGTCTCCCCAGACGATCACCTGCCAGCAGGGGAGAAAGAATCAGGAGCTGAGCCACTCTTCTTCAGCTCCAGGACTGGGAAGTGGGCCTAGGAAACTAAGTTTTGCCAGGGTACAGATGGGWCAGAGAGCGCCCGAACCCAGATTGATTTTGGGCAACAACTTTCTGAGCACTTAAGATGTGCCAGACTCGATCCTATGGACTTTACATGTGTCATTTAATTGTTMTAACAACCCACATGGATATGATATGTCATGAGCTTTGTAATGTTGTGAACAACCAATAAAAAAAAAAAAGACAAAATAAAAAAATAAATAAAAAATTTAAAAAAATAAAAATAAAAAAAAAAAAAAACAACCCACATGGGTAGCGGTGCTGTGTGTATTAGTATTTCTACTTAGAGGAAACCACAGCTCTGAGCTGATTTAACTAACCTAAAGATATAGTCATTTATAGCAGACCTGGGGTTAGAAGCTGGGTGTGTTTGACTCCAGGGCCTCYAAGCATCCTAATCGACAATTTCCCCATTGTGCCTCCAGTTCTGCTGCTGGCTCCCTGTGGATCTTGCATCTGTCCTGGGCCCTCGTGTACCTCAGTGTTTCTATTTGTAACTTTGGTAGTGTGAACAGATTATCTGAGTGATATTCAAACTTGTGTTTTTAAACAGACACATGATATTATGCCCCCTGCCCCAGAACCCTACAGTTCTGTGGTTTTTAAGTTTGGCAACTCAAGGGTCCTTGTCATAGAAACACCCCAGCTCAGAGGAGCAGCCCTCTATGGTGCGGATAAATGTTCCCAAGGGCCCAGGTGTTATAGGCTTAGCCCCTAGCTTGGCACTAGTGGGAGATGGTGGCAACAATGGTTTCAGATTTTGAAGGTGCACCCTGGAGGGGGATAGTATGGTGCAAGTCTCTTCCCCTCTCTTGTCACTTCCCAGCTGCAGCAGGAAAGCAGTTTTTTTCACTGCTCACTCCTGCCACCACGTGCTACCTCTTGACAGGYCCAGAAGCAGTGGGGAAAACTAAGCACAGACTGAACTATCAAAAACTGAGCCAAAATAAACCTTTCCTCTTTTCGAGTTGATTATCTTGGGTATTTTGCTACAAACAGAAAGCTGACTAACAAGAAGACACACAGCCCAGACAGGCCAGACTCTAACCTCTTCTCTCTCAGGCAAGACCTACTGCCACCATCACCATTAAAACTTAGCAAGTAGCTGTCTAGGTGCCAGGTGCAATGTTAGGCTGTGTAGGTGCCTTCTTTCAATCTCCACGATATACCACCCATAGCTAGTGAGTGTCAGCTGGAATTTGAACCCAGAACCACACTCAGAGACAGACCCGTCACAGTGCTGAAGGCCCACATGAGCTCAGAGTCTCTGTCTGTGGAGGGGACCTGATGAGCCTTCCCTTGCAGTACTGCTGTGAAGGCCARTCACACACAGAGCATGAAAGAGCTTTGTCACCCTCAAAGAGTTGGGATAAGAGCCACCTAAACTTGACCTCAGTTCTGCTAATCACTCGCTGAAACCTCAATCAAGTCACTTCATCTACCCAAGACTGTTTCCTCATTTGTAAAATGGAGGAAAYCACATCTACTTCATGGAGTAGTCCCAAGGATGATGTGAGATCACATCTGGAAAGTCCCGCCCTCAGCTGATGCACAATGAACATCAGCACCAGGTAACAGAAGGAGGCAGTATGGAAATGAATCCTGCTTCTCCCTGCCAGCTGTGCAAGCTAGGGAGCATCTTATCTACCTCAAAGCCTTGGTTTCCTTCTGATTCAACTGGGGGCAAGGACACCTCACTGGGGTTGTGAAAATAAATGGACAATATAAACAATGCACCTGGTACAATGCTTGACATAGGATGAATCATCGCTGAAGAACCTCGTCATGATTTCCAGTTTTTGAGTTGACCCTGGCCCACTCACCCTTAATACTCACCTGCAGCACCTTGCCCTGGGGCCCCTCATCAAAAAGCAGAGCCTGCTGGTACAGGGGATCACAGGTCTTCTTAGCCACTTTTGTCTTCTTCTTGGCCAAGCAGGCCCCATTCTCAAGCAGATAAGCCTTGATATAGGTAGCTGAGGGATGAGGGAAAGAATAATATAGTCCCAGAGAGACAACTATGGCGCACCCCATCCCCAACCTCTAGGGGACCCTGGAGGTGAGCAAGGTAAATAGATTGTGCACTGCAAAAGGAAGAGGCTGACCCCTCCATCCTCTCCTGCCCCCACCTCGCTCACTGGCCTTCCAGGGAAGGTGTGACTCCAGTCAAGAACACTGATGTAGGCCAGTGGGAGTTAAGGATGGACTACATACAGTTCAGCTACAAACCCCTCCCTTCTAGGACCTCCATTACCCAAGTCCCTCTCCTAGCTGCTCAGCCTCACCTGGGAGAGATTTGGAGCCTGGTTTGGGGGTCAGGCCCCGAGCTTCAATCACTTCCACTTCCAGCTGGCCACCCCGGTCCATGATGGCAATGTGCACATCTCCTGCAAGGGAAGAGGGACAATCCAGGCAGAGTCAGACCAGGGATTGAGGGGCAGCCAGCTTCTGGTGAGCATCTCAGTCTGCAGGGAACACTGTAGCAGCATCAGAAAGGAACATGTTGGAGCAAGCTGCAAGTGTCAGACTGTTCTCAGAGATCACTTTATATTTTAAAATTTTATTTTTTGGTACTGGGGATCCAACCAAGTGCTATACCACTGAGCTATATCTCACTAAGTTGCCAAGGTTGGCCTTGAATTTGCAATCCTCCTGCCTCAGCCTATATCATTCTTTCCCTCATCCCTAAGTCACTGGGATTAGGGGCATGCAGCACTTGGTTCTTAGAGATCACTTTAAAATGCTGGGTGTACATGCCTGTAATTCCAGTGACTCAGGAGACTGAGGCAGGAGGATTGCAAATTCAGCCTCAGCAACTTAGTGAGCCCCTGTCTCAATATAAAAAAGACTAAAGATGTAGTTCAGTGGTAAAGTATCCTGGGTTCAATCCCCAGTACCAAAAACTGAAATTGAGTCACTTCCAGGTGACTGAGAAACACTTTGCTAGATCCTGTGGCATGGGATGGGGCATGAACCTCAAGGAACATGCTTGGATCACAACAACTGGCTGCCAAATTCCCATCGTGTAGCTGACTGGGAGGCTTCTGTTTCACTAAGCAGAATAGGCAAGTTTAGGGACAGAGAGCTTCCTGTGTGAGGAAGCCTGTATGCTCTCTTCTTCATCTTCCCCTCCAGCAGCCCTCAGCCACTCCCCATTAATTTATCAAACAAATACTGAAAGAGCGTTAAGTGGGAAGCAATGCTAAGCTGAGCTGGCCCAGGATACAAGGCACTACCTGGAAATGGGGCCGCTCAACCCTCTGCTAGAGAAGCACAGAGASCTGAGTGCTCACAAGGTCAGGTCCTGTGTCCAACAGAATCAGATCCCATGTGTGGAATCATAGCATTACGTGATTTCTAGGAACTCTTAGCTTTGTTCACCATGGATTTAGAATTATGCAGTAGACACGTGGAACAGCCTTCAAAGCAGTAGATAATCATAAGCCTGATCCAGAAAAATTAAATGGGCCAGACTTCTGGTTCAACCACCCTTTTCAGATTCCCTGAGCCATTATGCAATTATTCATATTTGCGTACGAAAGAGGACAGGGATTTACTACTTTCAGGAGGCATCCTAGAATTCATCTTCCTCCAGTGATTCCTGACCTCTTCATGGGGGAAAGGGGGGTCTTGGGAATTCATTTTCTCCACACCTAGCTATCTCTCACTCCCAAATGGAGAGGAAATGCAAACCTGCTTTCCCAGTTTTGGACACAAGGGGGCACCACACACAAATGTGCAAGGCTGTGATGGCACACTGGCCTTGTGAAAGTGGTTGGCTCATTTTGCTGCTTCTCAATTTATGGTCTAGGGGAGAGGGAAAGCAGGCCCTTAAGAGGCTGCCAGAAAATGGCGGGAATTAGTTCAATCCAACGCAAGAACCAGATGAGAGCTGACACTGCCTCTCTAAGGATCCCCATGGACCCCTCTTCCAAGGGGCTCTATGGCCCCCCTTATTATTATTTTTTTTTTTTTGCCATTATACATGAGCTCTCTCTCTCGCGCGCGCGCTCACTCTCTGTGTCTCTCTCTCTCTTTTTAGTATGGACCCTTTCAAGGAAGACAGGGTAGTGCTGTGGCAAGAGTCCTGGGCCTAGAATGGAATCCCAGACCCATTGTGCACAGTTGCCTTCCTCTTTTGCTAGGAGGGTCAAAGGTCGAATACTGTCTGGATAGGGACCGTGGGCTTCTGGGTCAGATAATGCTGCTCAGGCCAGATTGATGGGACACAAGGGAAGGCAGGAAGCACCTCTGTAGAAGCCAGTTTGGAGAGAAGCTGCTTAAAGCAACATAGCCTGAGGGAGGGAGAAGTAGTCCCAGAGTGCACGAAATGACCCAGACTGCAGCTAAGAGGACCAAGCATAGGCTTCAGAATGTCCTTCCTTGCTGCAAGGAAGAGGGATGAGAAAAATAACAGACAGCTTCTAGGTGCCAGGCACTGTTAAGAGAAACAGTCAAATCAGCTCAGTTCCTACAAGCACATTAAAAGATCTCACTGCAAAGCATCTAATAGAAAGGAGCTCAATCAGCTGGTGTGAGATTGCAGAACTCAAGTGGGTCGTATTATCTCCATTTTACAAATGAGGAAACTGAGGCTTAAAGAAGGGAAGTGACTCATCCAGGTTCACACAGAGAACTGGTGAATCAACTCCAGGACAGCCAATGCTACATTCAGGTGATGGGCGTGTAAAGTGAGGGAGGAGATGTGCTGTAAAAGGTGCTGCGGGACAGCAGGCAGAGAAAGGCTGCCATCCCTCCCGTCTTTGATGAGGGAAGAATTGATGAATGCTCCACCGACTCTTCATTGGCAAAAAAGCCAGAGGAAGGGCTCCCTTCTGCTGCCTGTACCTTGTCATGACCCCACCCCCACCGCTGGCTCACCCACCCTGCCTTTTCTGCCATTACCCACTCCTCACTCACCCTGCCCTCAGGAAGACTCACCCATGGGGGGTGTTGCCAGCGTCTGTCGCCCCACAATTTGGGCTGGTCCCAGCCCATCCAGGAAGTCACTGAATTGGCTTTCAGCTCCCAGCCGGGTGGTGGGGAAGATGAACCTGCAGGAAAGGCAGACAATGTTCATTTCTGCACATTGAAGAAAAATTCTTTGATGTCACTAAAGAGACAACATTTAAAATCTCATAATGATGGTTTTCATTCTTCAAGTTCCAAGAATTTCTGAGGTGACCCTTAAAATGCAGTAACTGCTGGACACCTGTGTTCCTCACCAAAGGATGTCAGGCCAGAAATCTCAATGCCTAGAGCAAGTTCTAAGAACTGAGATTTGATTTGACCATAAATTTAAAATCCTAGTCAATAACTGCAAGGTGGTGCCGTGAACAGCACCTGAGACCAAAATAACACAATTACAGGGTTGAGATGAATGGCAAGGGATGGTGGGTGGTCCAGGGTGGTGGGGGGCCTGGAAATAGTAACAAGAAAAACTGCCAGTGATTAAAAGCTGACCAGGTACCAATGGGGCGCTAAATGTTCTAAGTGCACTACTGTGTCTTCCTTTTTTTTTTTTTGGTACCAGGGATTGAACCCAGGAGCACTTAACCACTGAGCCACATCCCCAGCCCTTATTATTTTTTACTTTGAGACAGAGTCTTGCTAAGTTGCTTAGGGTATCACCAAGTTGCTGAGGCTGGCTGTGAATTTATTGTCCTCCTGCCTCAGTCTCCCAAGTCACTGGGATTATAGGTGTAGGCCACCACACCCAGCATACTGTGTCATTTTAATCCTTACAATCTGTTGATAGGAACTAGTATCCAATTTTGCAGATGAGAAAACAGGCTCCAAGAAGTAAGCCTTGCCTGCAAAACAGAGATAATGCTCAACTCATAGACTACAGTGCAGGCTGGGCAGAGGGTATGGGAAGAGTTCGGGACAAACAGGAAACAACAAATGGTAGTTAGAGTTGCTGCTGCTGCTGCTGCTGCTGCTATTGTCAAGAGGAAAGTGCTATTTTTTCATGTCCTTAAGCTGGATGTCCAGGTTGTGGCCAGCAGAGAAAGGACAGATAAGGAAGGGTTGGCCCAGGCCTGCTCAGGGGCTACAATGGACCAAAGTATAAGACCTCCTGGCTAGAGAGAGAAAAAGCTATGCAGCAAAGAATCCCTGCTGGACAGGTTGGCCTAGAGTCCCAACTGGCCAGTGACAGGCAGGGAGGTATATGCTCATCAGAGAGAGGCTATGTCTCCTCTACTACATGGAGCCTCTACTCCCCCAGGAAGGGGCTTCATGGCACCCACTTTTTATTGATCATAATCAGCAATCACCTAGTATCACCTTCTTATTTCAATAGGATCTGAGGGATTAAAGAAATGTAGCCTCTCAAGGTCACAAACTTTTGGGAGCTTAGTATAGAGTAAGTTATCCTCTACCTTAGAGTAGAGGTTTGAATAAAGGTTATAGAGTCAAATGGCCCTATTAACACCACTTAATACTTAACAGCCATGACCACTTAACAGCTGTGACCTTGAGCAAGGTTCCTCCCCTCCTTCTTGCCTCAGTTTCCTTCCTCATAGACAGAGATAATGATAGTTCCCATATTCCTTGGGATGGTTATAAGTGTTAAATGATCACCCCATTCCTGGGCTGATTACAGTAGGTAGATTCCAAGGCAGGATTCACTGATCTAAGATACCCAATGGTGATCTGCACATGGGAAGTTAAATGTAGCAGCTATTCTCATTCATGGAAGTAGGTAGGGAAGGCCCTCTGTATCCATGAGTTCCACATCCACGGATTCAACCAACCACAGATTGAAAACATTATTGAAAAAAAAATGTGCCTGTATTGAACATGTGCAGGCTTTTTTTCTTGTCATTATTTTCTAAACAATACAGCCTAACAACTGTTTCCATTGCATTCACATTTTAATACATGGGTATTAAAAGTAATCTAGAGATTATTTAAGTAACAGGAGGATGTATGCAGGTTATATGCAACTACTACACCATTTTATGTAAGGGCCTTATGCATCCGTGGATTTTTTTGTCGGTGGAGGTCCTGGGACCAATCCCCTAGAAATGCTGAGAGTTGACTGTATAGTAGTGAGATATGGTCACTGAATACTAATAATGGAGCCCAGAATCCTGAGACTGGAGATTACAGAGCGTTAATGAAGCAGAAGCAGAGAGTGTTAGTCATAAACTATAGTTTCACAGATTTAGAAGAGATCTAAGGGAATATCTAACCCAGTGACTTTCAAATGTTTTACTGCAACCCAAATGTAAGAAAAGGATTTACCATCATGATCTGCTACAGACCAAAGTATATCTATATATGTAAAACTGAAACAAAAGGGCCCAAGGTAATTCATCCTCACTACTAAGATATACTTGAGTTCTCGATTTCTTTTTCTAATGCTGGTTCTGACCCATGGTGGTGATTTTATGCCTTGTCTATGAGTCACTACTGACAATTTAAAAAAACACGGATCTAGTCCAATCTCTTTTCCTAAGCTCCAAGAAAGTGTACTTGAGAGGACTCCACTCATCTGAGCCATAACAATCGGTTTAGAGCTAAAGATAATTTAGGATCACATTTTCCTTTCCACCCCTCTCCTTCTGAGCAGGGAGGCATGGAAGCATAGGAGGCAGGAGGCACAGGACACTTTCTGAAGCACACAGAAGGAATTCACTGCTCCTGGGCTCTAGGGCACTCCAGTGGAGCAATAGGAATACCTAGGGGCCAAGCAATGGATGTCCTGAGAAAGGGACAAGGGAGTCGGAGGCATAGAGGAAACCAGACATCTTGGCTGGAAACCACATAGGAAGGTCTTCCTGCCCTTCCTGCTGGTTGTGTGACCCAAGTCGAGGAGGAGGAGACAGAATGGGCTGAGCAGGGGTGCACATACGTGCCATCGGAGCTGTTGCTGTTGGTGCTCCCATCAGTGGACTCCCGGCTGCCCTGGCGTGTGACACGACTTCGCATCTCCACAGCAATGCCAGTCTCTGTGCTCCGTCGGATGTTGCTGCGCAGCTTCTTGGTGGCCCCTTCTGAGAACCCCACCCCAAAGGAGAGAGAGGAAATCAGTTTGAAACAACCTAAGGCTTCTTGGACAGTGTGGCCAGTTCTCCTCTGGGAAGGGGCATGCAAGCAGAGCTGACTGGAGTGGGGACATGAGCTACCCCCAGAACTGGTCTACAGCCTGACACCTGCCCTGCCAGGGGCAGTGACACAGACAAAGTGGACTAGAAAGATGGCTAGAGGGTCAAGATGGTGGAGAGGGGGCTTGAGGCAGAGCTCCTCCTACCAGGCTCCTCTGATGCCAAGTGCCCACTCTACTTCATCCCTTGCCCCCAAACTCATGTTCTTATCCCCTCTCCTTCTCCCCCGACTCTTCTGGAAAGTATGTCTTACAAGATTTACTTTCCTTCTTCCAGATCCCCCAGGGACCCCATCACACCCAGACCCCACACAACCTATTTCTCTGATACCCTCATAGGCCCTATTAAAAAAAAAAAAAGGGGGGGGGCTGGGGATGTGGCTCAAGCAGTAGTGCGCTCGCCTGGCATGCGTACGACCCGGGTTCGATCCTCAGCACCACATACCAACAAAGATGTTGTGTCCGCCGAGAACTAAAAAATAAATATTAAAAATTCTCTCTCCTCTCTCCTCTCTCTCTCTCTCTCTCTCTCTCTCTCTCTCTTAAAAAAATAAAAAAAAGGAGCATGACCACTCTCAAACAAACTTCCCTTCTGAAGGTAGGTCCAAATGTGGAGAGGGACATGTGTGGCAAGCTGGTAAGGCCCTCGGGGAAGCAAGACTTTGAGAGGGACTGCTAACTTGACCTGAATTGACTTTGACTTTAAAGGAAAGGTCTGTAGAAGAGCCCATGAAGCTGTGCAGCGCAAGCCTGCCTTGTGCCTCTGTATTCTATACAGGGCATGCCCTGCCCAGCACCCGTTCTCCACCTGACAGGGGAAAGGGGGCACTCTCCTTCTCCTAGCAGTGTACCATCCTACCTGGGTTTCCATAGCAACCTCTTCAGCATTCAGTGTGGTCCCTTCAGATTCACTCTCCTCTGGGGAAGTAAAGTGGGGACACATTGGGGTTTTGCAGGAATTTCCCATGCAGAAGCTTGCTGGCCAGAGGAATTTCATAGGGAGGAAGTGATGCTTGGATGGGAACTATATCAAAGGAGATACCTGCTGTCACTGGTTAGATGCCTAAGCAAATTAAGAGTGGAGTTCTTTACAGAGATGGGGGAGACCTGAGACATGGGTAGGAGACACAGCCCCTGAAAACAGTGGAGATGGGGGATCTGATTACCCTAGCAGTCTTTTCTCCTACTCCCATCCAGTTGTGGATTGGGGAAGGAATGTTCCCGACCCCAGCCTGGGAGAAGGAGGACTTTATTTCTCTTTCTTTGCTCTATTTATCTTTCAAGAAGTCTCCACTGTGGGAGGGAAGGTTGAGAGGGCTAGTATCACCAGTGGATGGGATGGTAGTGGAGGGGACGTGATGGGAACAGGGTTGGGAAGTAAAGGGGAATGACTCCTGTAAAATCAGACCAGCATCTAGGACATGGGAATGTCTAGCACATCTAGGATCAGTGAGATCACTGAGAAGTGTGTCTGTCTCACTCACACACATACACATCTCAGCTTACACTATTTCTTTCACATAGATGATCATAAACAGACATATACAAAGCTGATGATTACATATATGAATACAGTTATCTCACATACAAGGTCAATTATGTTAGTACAAATTTGCATGGTCACAAATGGTCCCACCAGGTCTTGGCCATATGTACACATTACATGCTCTATCAAATGTAGTTAGATCACGTATGATGTTTTGATGTGAACTCTCAAATACCTGGAGTTGAACCAGTCCACTATATCACACACAACAGTGCCCACCCACACATGGTGTGTGACCTGCCACACACACAGAGGGCTGGGCAAAAATGGGGAGTGTAGGAGGACTCTCCCTGTCCTTGGCTCCTAACTGCCACATCCCCTCTAACCCAGTTAGGAGACAGATGGGGTCTGAGGACTGCAAGTCACCCTTCCTCCCCCTCATATCCTCACCCCCTCAACATTCACTTTTAGAGCTTGGGAAAGCTCTGACCCATTTGGATGTGAATTTCACTTCTAAGGCTTGCCCAGTCCAATATGAATCCTTGAATGGAGGAGTTGTAGGACCCTGAAGAGGTTAAGAAATAGTTTGCTAGCCCCCTCTACCATTTCTCAAATAGGGAGCTTGAGGTCCAGGTGTCAAAAGAACTGGGACTAAATGCCAGGTCCCCAGACTCCCAGTCAGCTGGTATGTTGCATCTCTCTCCCCTCCCAATGTCCCATCTATGTGTAATGTAACTCATCAGAGGGAAGGTTCCATGTCTTCAGAGGGAGGAGAAAGGTCTTGCAGCCTTAGGGGGAAAGTCCTTTACTGGCTTCATCCCTGTGCAGTTTCAACCCCATCAATCCAGGGAATAACTTCATGTAGCTTCTCTCTAGAGCACCAAGCCAAATTGCTTACAATAATTCTGTAGTCCCCAGATACTGAAAAACTTCAGAAACCATCCCATCTGTCCTGTCACATACAAGAGAGGGGCAGTAACAACCTGCAGCAATACACCATTAGGGACATCTTCTGGAATGATCCTGAGATTTCTGACCCAGAGCCTAGAGAGAGCCCAGCAGAGAAAAGCCACTGTCCTTGGTACTGAAAAGAGAAGCTCCATTTGGACGGGCTGAAACAGCCGTGGATGACCCTGTGTGGAGCTAGCCTAATACCAGACCAGATTCCACCTGTGCCCTGGGACCCAAAAGCCCTGAACTCACCTCTGTCATTGCTCCCACAACTTACAGAATTATAGATCTAGAAGGAAGCTGGGAGGGAGCATTTTTTAGCTCCATTTTACAGAAGAAAAAACTGAAACTCAGTGGGAAAGTGACTTTCCAAAGGTCCCATGGGGAGTCACAGAGCCAGGACTAGCCCTCTAAAGCACCAGGGTGAGTTTTTGAAAGTCCACTCTAGGGCAACATAATGAATAAACTGGTAGGGGGTGGCAGGGGAACCAGGAAGGAGGTTGGTACAACACTCAGGCTAGATATTATGAGGTCTGAACTAGGGCAGAGGCTTTGAAACAAAAAGGGATGGGCAGGGCTCTGGCTGAAGCAGGGTACAGATAAACTAGGATAAAGGGGGTCATTGGGAAGGGCAGACCCAGAGCCCAGAAGGTTGGGTCCAGAAGAGGAATTCTTACCAACTTCACACAGCCCAGCTCTGCAAGGAACTGAGCTATCCCATATTGGGGCAGTGGGGGGCAGCAGGGGGTACCCCTATGGGAAGTTTTCCCAGAACAACAATTCCAGGGCCAACACCCACAGTGAACTGGCACCATATATCCCTCTCATGCCAGACTTTTCCAACCAGGAGGAGGCCCCAAGCTGGGATCCTCGAGGCTTGGAGAAAAAAGAAACATTTTGACTGGGAAAAGGAATAAAGATGGGAGAGGTGTGGAGGCTAGAGGCCTTACTTCTCTTTTGACTCTACTGTGCCCAAGGGTAACAATAACGGCACCAATTTCACTGAGTGTCTCCCATGTGGCAAGCACAAGGCTGGCCACCTTCCCATTCATTATCTCATTTAACTCTGGACACCTCTGCAAGGCATGTATTATTGTCCTCATTCTACAAACAAGAAGCAGGCTCAGAGAGATGCAGTAACTTGCCCAGATGGATCACCTAGTAAATGACAGGGTGTGGCTTCAGAGGCCACCTGAGATCATTCTCCAGGAAAATGCCTTCTCCCCAGGCTTTGAATGTTTGTCATAAATGAGTACAATGAACTAGATGACCTCGAGGGGCCCTTCCTGCTCTGACATTCAGCAATTAGATGACTCATAGGGACCTTCAGTTAGAAGGGCATCTGGGCAATTCTCCTGTCCCAGCCCCCGGCCTTCAGTAGTGCCCTTACATACCAAGGAGACAGGGATCCAGAAGCCCCCATGGCCATTCATCTCCTCCCAAGGCAAAAGGTCTTCCTGGCATCTGCCCCATCCCTGCCTGCCGTCTGTGAAGTCTATGCAGATCACTGCAATATCTCCCAGGGACTCAGGCCCCTGACTTGGCCTTGAGAGACTGTCCCTCCCAATCACTCTGGACAAGAGAAACCTTTGGGCCTCAGACCAGATTCTTGGGCGTGGTCTGCCAAAGCCAGACCCTGGGGTCTAACACCTCTGTGACGTCCTCATCTTAATACTCTGGCCCTAATCCCACCCTTGGCGCTATCCCTGTCCTCCTTGTCCTATCCCAAGTTCAGGATCCCCAAATCCCCACCTCCCTTACTACCTAGTCCCAGGCCGGCACTGCTCACCCTAAGGCACTAATAACCTCAAGCCCCTTCCCCATCCAGCCTCTCCCTGCGCCAGAAACCACATCACAGCGTGATTGCTGGAAAAGACCATCCCGCATGCTCCTGTTAAGGGCTTTGTAAGAATCTATTTTAAGGCCTGGAAAAGTCCCCCACCCCCAGCCCCAACTGGAAGTCTTGATGAGCATTCTCCCTGATCCTCCGGCAACCCCGCCCCCCACCACCCCCATCCAGCTGCCTATTTGAAGGTTTCTCGGGGAAGTTGTTACTCTGAGCAAAATAAGCAGGAAGAGATTTTAAAACAAAACCAGCTGGTGTCTGGGCTGATGCCACAAAGTGAGGGGGTCTTGGTGGAGAGGGCTCGCTCCTTTGTGACATGGGGTCCATGTGTGGCTGTGTGCAACAAGGTGGGTCTCCTACCAGTCTGAGTATATCTGGGATTGTATAAGTGCAGACCGAGAAAGCGTTTGTTTTCATGAGGATGCGACTGTTAAGGTGTGTGAACGTGGCTCTGTCAGGCAAGTGCATACCCAAGTATGACATGTTTCTGTGATCTGAGTATGTGCATCTGTGGTTCTGGTTGGTTTTATTCATTGCCATGCAGAATCTGAATGAGAATGATTGTGACATGCTTTCCTGGTGATAGGACTGGCTCAACTGAACACCTGGGCACTCGATGTGATTGTACAAACCATGAATCTATGTTTCTCTCCTTTTTCTTTGTAATATCTAGGTGTGATGTAACATCTCTTTGTAACATCTACGTTTCTCTTTGTAACATCTACTTGTTTCTCTTTGTAACTATATTCACGTGGCTGTTATACTTAGGAAACTCAGAGATGACAGATGAGACTGAATCTTGTGGATGCGTATGTCTGGAAAATCGTGGTGTCCTGACCATGGTGACAGGAACAAAGGAGGATCTCATAAATAATTACTGATTAATGTGTAAGTCTTTGCAGAGCCAGCATAGTGTAAAAATTCAGGGCATGAAGTAGGAAGCCCAACTACGCATGTTTGAACCCAGGCTCCACTGTTTCCCCACTGTGTAATCTAGGACAGGTGCCTAGCCTTTCCTGTGCTTCTGTGCATGCCTGGTGAGGCTGAGGATGACAGGCATACCTCCTTGGCCCAGAAAAGTGCCTAGTATGTGGGAAGTACCATACAAAGTGTGGGGTGTGGTCAAGCACATCCAACAGTTAATACCAGGGTACGCAGGGCAAAGTGACCCACCCCCGCCCCTCAGTGCCCTGGGCCCCTCACCTGGCTGGGGAAGCTGGAGTGTGCTCTTGCTCCACTGGGTCAGGCCCACGATGGCCACCATCTTGGCACCCAGGCTGCTCCGCCGCTTCTTGGCAGTGGTGGTCCCGGTCCCACCCCCAGGTTGCTGGGATCCACAGATTTCGCCACTGATACTGGAGCTCCGCACCACATTCCTGGAGGCTCCAGCCGAGGCTGGACCTGGCTCCCCGTTAAACATGATCCCAAGCACAGGAGATCTTCAGGCAACCCTGAAGTGTGAGGGAGACAAAGAAATTTCACATCAGACCCTAGTAACTCTACAGCAGTCCCACTACTTCCCAGCTGTGGACCCTGGGCAAGTCACTCAGCCTCTCTGAGGCTATAAGTATTAAATTAACAAATAAATATCAAGGGCGTATACAGGGTCTGGCTCAACAAACAGGACTATTCTTGTTAGTGTATGGCCATGAAGAAATGGCAGGTGGCCTGGTTTTGCAGTGAAGACTAAGGCTACAGAGTCAGATGGCCTGGGCTTGAATTCCAAAAGCCTCCAGGCACTAGCCGTGTGACCCGGTGACCGAACATCTTGGGATCTCAGAAGACATTAGCAAAATAAGAAATAAAAGCCTGTACCTTATAGGACTGCTGTAAGAACTAAATGAGATAGCACAGGTAAAGTGCCAGGAACAGTCACAACAGAGAGAGAATCCTCATGAGCTTAGGGTTGATTACTTCCATAGCAAGTAATAAGCACAGGGAAAACAAACCAGGCTCTGCCTGCGCAGCTAGTGGAAGGGGTCCTCCTGGGTGAAGGGGATGGTTCAGAAAAGCATGAAACAACAGGCCCAAATCACCCGTGCCTGCACTGCCGAGAGGCAGCCACCACCAGTGTTTTAACCCAGTTCCTTCCAGAGTCCTTTCTGTGCACGTACCAAAATAATTGGACTCACACTGTAAATATAATTTATATCCTGGTATTGTTCAACTAACATTATATCCTAAGTATTTCCCAATGTTATTAACACTTTGTATAAAAGTTTTAATGCCACCATAATAGTCTGTTGTATAGAGGTAGTATAATTGACTTAAATATTTCAATACAGCTACCTCTTGAATCAGGTCCAAGTTTCTCTTGCCTCTCTTTTAAATAAACACTGAAATAAACATCTTTCTGCACTGGTTTAGTCTGCTGATGTGCTGGGGATTGACTCCTAGAAATGGACGGGCTGGGTGGGAGGGTGTGGGAATGGCTGGTAGCTTCCCCCATGTGCTGCCCCACTTCATGTATCCTGGCAGAGTAGTGGTTTTATCCAGGTCCCACCCTGTCCTTGTTTTAGAGGCAGATCCTGATTAGTTTCAGGACTTTAGTGAATGGCGTACTCCTTGGTGACTCTCACTCATCCAAGGTGGGCATATGACTAAGTTGGCCCAATTCAACTTAAAGGGAGATTTGGATTCCATGCTTACAAGAGAGGTGGGGGTTTGGTGTCTCTTTTTCTCTCTCTCTGCCCCCCCCCCCACAGTGGGCCCAGTCAGAGTCTGAAACCAGTACTCTGAAGGGTAACACAGCACACAGACCAAAAGGTCACCAGGCCACACCTGGAGCCTGCCTTTCTCTGACCTTCCAGTTCTAAGCAATAATACATTTTCCATTGCTTAAGCCAGTTTGAATCAGAGCGCTCTGCTACATCCAAAAGCATCCTGCCTGATACTAAGGGCATAAATGGTTTTTGGATTCTTGGACCATATTGCCAAATTCCTTTCCAAAGTACAGAAATTTACTCTTCTCAWTAGCTGTATTCAACAAATATTTAATTTCCTAAAATTTCAAGGCCAATGCTGAGTGCCAAGAGTACAGCAGTGAGCCAAGCCAGCTTGGTCCTACCCTCCCAAGGCCTCCAGTCCAGGAGGGGAAATAGACAGTAAATAACTAATTATGCAATTAAATATTTAATGGTGGTTACGATAAGTGCTAGAAGAAGAGGACAGAAGGCTCTGAGAGCCACTCTGAGGGAGGGGCATCGTGTGTTGGCAGCCCATTTCATACAGAGCAGGGGGTCTCCAGCTGTCAGCCTCTAACTCAGTTGCAAAGCCTAGTGCTGCAGTCTGCTCCTCTGCTCCAGCAGAATACAGGGAAGCCATGCTCTGCACCCAGCACTTTCCTGGCTCTGTCCCAGCCCACAGTTCTCTTCCTGGGCAGAGGTACATCCCAGGGTTCAGGGCATTCTGCATGACCCTTATGCCCTGAGACCTGTGACCCTGAGGGAATTTGACTTTCCAAAAGGACACAGAAAGGGATGAAAATGGGGGTGGAAGAATGAACGCACCACTCTGGCTGATGAGAAGGATAGTCCTCAGACAGGGGAGAACGGTCACTTGGTCTCCCAGTCAGCATGGCTCCTGCCAGCTTGGTGAATTAGGACCGACAGAGGGGATGAGTCAATGCCTTGTTTTGCCTTCTTTGTGGCTGTCTGGACTGTTCTCACTCACCCAGAGATGTGTGCAAAGACCCGGATTGTATTACTCCATCCCCCATCAACCTTGTAGCTAATGGAAAGTCCCCCTGGACTTTGGCCTGTGATGATCTCTTTAGTTTCCAGCTCTAGTGCCAGTTTGTGTGTTTTTTTGGGCATCGGCATGGTCTTTTGGTGGAAGGTGGGATAGGGCTTATCTGATATTGTGAATCTGCCAGGGCCTAAGTCTAATTTGCTCATTCTAACATTTCTGCAAGGTGCATAGTTATCTCTACATGGCAGATGAAAAAATGAGTCTCGGAGAAGTAAAGGAGTTGCCCATCCTACTCAGAAAGGAAGTGGCAAGGCTTGGGCTCAAATGCACATTTCCTGTTTCCACAAAGAGACAACATGCTCAGCAGCCCCTGTCCCTTCAACTCAGAGCTCATCCAAAGATGTGCATCCATTCCTCAAGCTCTGGCTCTGCCCTGGGTCTCTAAGGTCTTTAAGAAAACTGCAAGAAAAGTGCCTATGATAAGAAAACCCCCTCTCTGTCCCATATTCTCTCAGCTGGCATAAGCAGCTAAGGGGCATCCCCACCCCCCAGACCATACCTGGAGAAACAAGCACTTCCCTGGTGAGCCACACCCCAGGGTGAGAAAGGAAGAGGTAAAGGACAGAAATCCTGACCCTGCCAACTTTGGGAGCTCATGTTTCCTTATGAATAATGAATGGAACCTACAAACAGATGGCCTGACATCCAGGACTCTGCACCATACAGAGCCGTTTTCTCATCCTTAACCACCCAGGAGAACTGGAGAGCTGATGAATGTCTGGGGTGCGCAGCCTGCAGGCCACTCCCCAAGGTGAGAGGAGCCAGATCCAAACACTAGACCAAGGTCCTAGGGCCTGACCCTCTGTTCAGCAACTGTAGTGGGGCAGCCTGGGAGGGTTATAAATCATGACATGGATTAAGAAGTGGAAAGATTCCTTGTACGGACTTCTCTGTTCCTTAGCTTACTCATCTGTGTTAAATAAAGGGTCAGATTAAGTGCTCTGGAAAAGTCCTTTTGACTAGGAGAACTGAATTTATAAATGTGTGCTGCAGTGGAGGGCTCAGAACCAGAGTTCTAGCTTCTCTGGCAGTCACTCTAGCTCAGGAAGGGTAAGCCAGAGAAAGATAGAGATGGACACCTGGCCCCTATAAGGAAGGAAATCCACTCCATAGCAAACCCAGAGCCATCAGACCACAGGGATGGAAAGGGGAAGGAGGCAGAGATGAGGGCAGTATGATGAGGGGCCAGCAGGACACAATACAGCATTTCACATTCAAGCAGTTCTACTCGATTACTAAATGAACTACATCCTTTCCACAAAAGTCACTGCAACAATTCCTCTGCTTCTGGGCAGGCCTGTCCCTGCCCCAGCTTAGTTCATCAAACCTCAGGCAAGACATCCTTCCCACGATCTCACTGAGCCACAGATCTCCTTCTGAAGTTCTCCCTGGTTACTGCCATCCACTCCTGCAGCCCAAGGAACTCAGCTCTGATTTGTCCTCCAGGGAGGAGGAACTACTGCCCTTCCCCTGAAATTTCAGAAGACATCACACAAGCTCCCCAGGAATAAGCTTGGTGTTTTCTTCCAGCTCTCAACATCAGGCCTATGCCTGGGGTCTCCCCACACTGAGGGCTCTCCAACCTTCCCTCAATCCTAAAAACAGCAAGTCTCAGGGCCCTGACAGCATCCACCCAACCCTGGGGACCACTTGGTTCCCTTTAATCACATATCTAACCAGCTAATGAGCCTTTCTGACACTCAGTGAGGTACCTAAGCTTAAGATGAACCCAGCTACCCACCCTTTCAACAGGAAAGGCAAAGGAATCCATTTTAGGAAGCTGAATTGTTAGGCTGGAAGAGGCTAACCTATGACCCCTCCCCATCCTCTTCACAGCAGCCATCACTAAGCCATCTCTTCCGTAGACATCAGATTGAACCTCGACTTCCCTCTCAACACACTCCGCCAGCACTAGCTGATGAGCTAAACTGACTTGCCCTCTCTCATTCCAACCTTTCATTTTRCAGAGCAGGAAATCAAGGCCAGGAATGAGGAAGAGACACATCAGACCAGGGCCATACAGAAAGCTGGTGGCAAAACCAGAACTCCAATCCAAGTCCCCTGACTCCCAGGTGCCATGTCACCTGGCAGGTACTACTTCCCCACCCCTCACCTGGAAGAAAACCCAAACTCACCCAACTGATGAATACGAGTGAGTGAGTGAGCCAGTCAGTGAGGGAGTAAGCATGAGCGAGGGAGAGTGGAGTTCTGCATCACAGTGGGCTGTGCCCCTCCCAACAGCACACCCCTAGGGCATTTGAACAAGGCTTCACTTAACTTCTGCTGAGACACCAATTTTCAGGAAAGGAGATGAAGACAGTCAGGGCAGCTCCCAGGGAAGAGGTGATGTTATTAAAGGGTCTGGAAGGGAAGAGTTGAGCTCAGAGTAAGGGCTAGTGAAGACATCTGTCCTCAAGGGCTTCCAGCAAATAGCTTGTGGTATAAAAAGATAGACTTTGGAGACATCTGTGGGGCCTAGAGCAAATCACTTCAACTTTCTGATTCTTGGCTTCCTCCTTTATAAACTGTTTGAACTCCTGCATTCCCTAATCCGCCTTTAGGCACTTCAATGTCAAACTGCTGAGGCCCTGCAACTTTAAGGTTTTTAGAGCTGGGGCTGTGGTAAAGCACTTGCCTTGCATGCATAAGGAAGGCCCTGAGTTCCATTCC